CCGCCGCGCCGCCGCCGCCTCCGCCGCCGCCGCCCGCGCCGTGCGTCGCCAGCCCTCGCACGTCGCCCTGCAAGGGCCAGTTGTACGAAACTCGGAATAAAGTGTAGATAAAATTTATTCTATGGATTGCAGGAAAGAAACCGATTGTACTAATACGGAATAGACGCGGTGTTAAACTATTCCGTGATATTTGGTGGATAACATGGAATAACCTCAAAGTAGAAGCAGTAGTGAGACACGTGAATTACATGCACACTTTTCTTTGAGAACATAAATACCCACCCCTTCCACTTTACTAACATGAGTTGAACTAAGAATAAATTTTAGCTACGAGCATTTTAGACAAAATATGATAACCAGAAATGTTCGGTGAAAGTATTTCGTATCAGAAAATGAGCTTCACATTTGATATAATAGGCATGTCAAAATAATCAAATATCCCACTTCTCTGTCATCTACCGAAATGAAGACTCGAGAAAACGGCAAAGGATAAAAGTATTCTGTAGCAATGGATATCAATGAAGGTTTTGTATAGCGATGATGAATTCTAGTTTCTCGTATGTCGACGCGTTGAAGCCGAATCTGATGCCAGAATTGCGCCATTACTCTCCAGTTTTTTAAACGCAAAAACCACTGTGAAATTTACTTTTTGTTTACGGGCGTTGGTGTCATACTCAAAGACATGACTTATGTTTCTCTATATATGTGGACGTGCCGAATGTGAAGCCAAAACTGCGGCACCACCCCCAGTTTGTTTTAAACCACAAAACAAAACAAAAATAATATATTTTAAAAAACACATGCGAATACTAGATGTTGGTGTCTTGTAGCATTATACTACAAAGAACGTTGTCAGACCCAAGATTTGAAACATGTTTCTCTATGTATGTCGACGCGCTGAATCCGAAGCCAAAATTGAGCCACCATCTTCTATTTCCTTTAAATCCCCCCCAAAAAAAGTGTGATTTTTACATGAAATTTTTACGTGATTTTTACATGAAATTTACAATTTGCCAGTTCGTGGTGTTATTTTCGCAATTTAAAAAGAAAACCGGAGTGTAATGTCGCCATGGAGAGTAATGGGTTCGGAGTCAGCGCGTCGACATACATAGAGAAACAAGTCTTTGGTTTTATTGTGAGTGCGTGTGTTATTTGCGCAATCCGCCTCTTTCGCAGCGGCGGCCCCGAGGGGCGGGCGAGAGCCAGGGCTCACCCGGTGGGCAGCGCGAGGCAGAGCCAGGGCGCCGTGCGGTGCGGCGCGCGGCCCAGGGCGGCGCTCAAGGAGAGCGCGCGCGCCGTGGCGTGCACGGCGTCGGGGCGCGGCAGCGCCGCCGCGCAGAAGTACACGTCCAGCGCGCGCGCCAGCGCCGCCAGCGCCACCTGCGCACACGCGCGAGCACGCGTTGCAGCACACAATTGCGCGTTGCAATACAAGAGCACACGTTGCAGCACACAATTGCGCGTTGAAGTACACGACCGCACGTTGCAGCACACAATTGCGCGTAGCAATACAAGAGCACACGCTGCAGCATAGAACTGCGCTTTGCAGCACACAAGCATATCCTGGTGTACGTAACTGCACATTGCAGGTTGCAGTTGCGCGTTGCAACTCACCAGCACACGATGCAGCATTCAATTGAGAGTTGCAATACAAGTACACACGTTGCAGCACACAATTGCGTTTCAGCACACAAGTACATACTGCAGCACGCAATTGCACGTTGCAGCTCACGAGCACATACTGCAGAATGTAATTACACGTTACATCACCCAAGCAGACGGTACTGCACACGAGCACACGTTGCACTACACAAGCACGCCCTGCTTCACATCAAACGACAATATGCAGCATTCCAGCAACATTGTAGCACGCGGTTACGTGTTGCAAAATAAAATCACATTCTGCAGTAGATATGGACACGTTACGGCACGTAACAGCAAGCTGAAACAACCACACATTTCAGCACACAAGAATACGCAATTCAGAACCACACTTTGAGTACAAAATCAGATGTATGACACCATCACGAACTGCGGCAATTAAGCACGTAATGCAACACTCAACCATGCTTTGCTATACACAAGCAAACATTGCAGCACATAAACACGTATTACAGTACAGAACCACACGTTACATCACACAATCACATTCTGCAGCACACAACACGTTTTGTCATCCCAGCACACCTGTCAGCTTCCAAGCACGTCTGTCAGCATCCAAGCACACCCGTCGGCTTCCAAGCACACCCGTGAGCATCCAAGCACATCTGTCAGCGACCATGCACACCTGCCAGTATCCAAGCACACCTGTCAGCATCCAAGCACACCTGTCAGCATCCAAGCACACCTGTCAGCATCCAAGCACACCTGTCAGTATCCAATCACATGCTTTAGTACACGTGCATAAGCTGACACAACGCAGAAGCACATGTAGCACACAAGATCTTGCAGCACACAATCACGTTATAGGGCACAAGCATAAGTTGCAGTACTTGTTGAAGCACATGTTTCAATATACAATCACACTTTTCTTCACACAATCACAAGTTGTAGTTTACTGCACTCATGCTCATTGATTAAGTCATTAATTATTTTATCACTGGCACTGTCAATGCACTTTTCTTTGCAACTCGCAAGTCGTGTTCTACACTGTACATATATTCTTCAATTTAATGATATAATTATCACTGTGTGAGGTTTCTATATAGACTTATATGCACACATCACTATATAGAAGTATCTCTGTAGTTAATTCTGACGTTTGATCAGCCGGGTCGCGGTTATGCAATCGGGAGCTTCAAAACCAAAACTTAAGTCGTAACGAAGCACCCGATTTGATAACCGCGTCCAGATGCACGAACGTCATAAGTCGCTATAATTAAATCAGAGTATACAGCTCCTTATTCTGGTGTCGGCAAACGGAGTGGCAGTGCAGCCTCACCTCGTCGCCGAGAAAGGCGCCCGCGCCAGAACCCATGCCCATACCGGCCCGCGCCTTGCGTAGAGTGTCAGCCGTCACCGGCGCCGACCACGCCAGCGCGCGCCGCCCGCACAGCGTCGCCGCCTGCAGCTGCAACACGCGCCCCGCCCGCGCACTCGCACCTTACACTTCGATTACAACCGAGTGTCCTTCCAAGACCACGAGCTGAACCGACGTTGACCTTACACTTCGATTACAATAGGAAGTCCTTTTCAAGACCACGAGCTGAACCAACGTCACCCTTACACTTCGATTAAAATAGAAAGTCCTTCCAAGACCACTCGTTGAACCGACGTCGAGCTTACACTTCGATTACAACAGAAAGTCCTTCCAAGACCACGAGCTGAACGGACGTCAACCTTACACTTCGATTACAACAGAAAGTCCTTCCAAGACCACGAGCTGAACCGCCGTCGACCTTACACTTCGATTACAATAGGAAGTCCTTTTCAAGACCACGAGCTGAACCGACATCACTCTTACACTTCGATTACAACAGGAAGTCCTTCCAAGATCACGGCCTGAAAAGAGAGGACACTTTCATCCAATCAATAGCTTTAATACCAAATATTTAAGTCGTAACGTAGATCGTGATTGGATGACTGTGTTCCCCTCTCCAGTCAACTAGTTCGATTGATTAATTTGTAATTTGGGGAGCGTCGACTGCTAAGATCATTAGTCCTAGGTTCAATTACATGTTTTTTTTTTATTGCGGGAGATCGTCCCCGGCCGGATGGCGAGATTCGGCGCCGACCCACCGTCGGCTAGCGGAATTTCCAACAACTAAGTATCTCCCACCAGCGGGACACCGTCTCAGCCGCACCAAGCTCGAAGTGGCCGACCAATATCCTGTCATGTGCGGTAGTGTTGTGCACGTGAGTGTTAGTGTGTAGGTAAGGGGTGAGAACAGAACAAGGATGGGGAAGGAAAGATCGGGCGCGGTCCGTAACCCCGTTTGTTAGGATACAGGAGGGGAGGACAGACCAAGGTTGATGATGGGAAGATCTCCAATGGTCCGTAGCCTGTTTGTTAAGATCCTTTCCGGCTTCGGCTGGTGTTAATCGGAGAAACCATGGAAAATTACTGATTAGTGCTCACGGCCTCTACATTTCTCCTCCACACCGCTGAACGAGCAATCTAGCTATCGAGCTATCTAGCTAGTATCAAAAATCCTGCCGCCCTCGAGACTCAACCTCTAGGATCTTGCGATGATAGGAACTCCAGTTACATTTGGTGATGCCCTGAACAACACAAGTCAGTCTGTCAGCAGGTGACCTTTGAGGGATTTTATGTTTTAATCGAAGTACGGCAAGCACCAGACGGTTGAGAGTTTTTGGACAGCGTGAAAACCTTAGGCTTGCCACTTTGAACAATAATGTGACATAAATGTGTCATAATACTATAATGGTTCCCTGATTTTGGTGAGTACTCATGTTGCAGTATATTGATGTATTATACAATAAAGGTAAGTACATATATTATACAGACAATTTTCCACATAAAAATATACTTTATCCATTTATGGTGTGAAATCGTATAAAAATGTTTATATAGATTTCAATCGTACCTTATTGACCCTTCCATTTCGTAATTGGGATCGGGAGTAAAAAATGGTAACCTCAAAGTTATAGTTTCTGTGATATTAACATTTTGGTACCCTTAGTCCTATTGCCTATGTACTGTAATTCTCAAATAATCAAAATTACGGCGGGTACTCGTTCATCGGCTGTTGTCATCATTGTACCCCGCATGAAAACCTTCCAGTAAAAATGTTCTATTGCTTCAATCTCGCAAAGTTTCAATGTGGGTTACCAAGTTTTACACTCGAACATTTCAATTAGAGCCACGGCAACTGGCAACCCTGTTTGAGTAGATTCCGCGGTGTTCCAGGTAGATGGAGGAGAAAGGGGTGAGCTACCGACCTCGCTGAGCGGCTGTCCGCAGGCGGAGTGGATCTCCAGGAGCGCGGCACGCGGGGCGGCGAGGGCGGTGCGGGCGAGGGCGGTGGCTTCGCGCGCCGCCCCCAGCGCCAAGCGCGCGCCGCCGAGCGCCCGCCGCCGCCGCCGCGCGCCCGCGCGCCGCGCCGCCGACCGCCCCGGCCCTCCGTCACCGCCACAAGCAGCAACGACGCCTCGCGCAGCACACAGAAGCGGCGCAAACCGCCGCCGCCTACACACGCCCAGTCGCCCACGCCCATGCGGCGTACGCCGCGCGCGCGCCAGCGCCCACGGGCGCAGCGCGCGCGCTGCACGCCCTGGCACCGCGCAACCACCGCCAGTCCAGGCACTCACACACACGCGCGCGCTACGGTAAGCGGTGAGCACTCGCATGCATACACACTCTCACGTAAGGCACGCGGTGAGCACAAAACTCCACCTGTGTAACACCCTGCCCTCTAAGATGGTAAGTGGCGAACTGCAAACACTCGTAAATACACACACACACACCCTCCCTCTCGCACACTACGTAACCGTGAGGACCAAAACCCACAACCAAAACCACAAAAACAACCACACACGCGCGCGCGTGCACGGTAAGCGGTGAGCAGCTCGGACTTGCATCCACACCCTCTCACATAAGGCACGCGGTGAGCAACATCTCACACACCTGCCCTATAGATGTAAGTGGCGAACGACGAAAAACACTCGAATACACACACAGACACACGCACAAACAACACACCTCCCCCTCGCACGCCTTTAAAGCGGTGAAACAGACATATATACACACACCCTTTTTACAAACCGATTAAGCCGGGTGAGTTCAACTAATCTATAGCACACACAGCATCTCACATACGTGCTTTCAGAGACACACGGCCCGCGGTGAATACAACCCCCGCCCCCACACACACACAACACTTAACCGAAAGGAGTGCGGGGAACTCAAACGGTAATACACGACCAACTTCACACACACACACACGACACAGGGAAGCCAAGGGCGAGGTTCAAGAAGTATAACGCAAGCCCTCCACGCCAACCATATATCTCGTCTCTCTCTGCTCTCTCTCTCCTATCTCATCTCTCATCTCTCCTCTCTCTCTCCGTCCTTTCTCTCTCTCGTCTCTGTCATCTCTCTCTCCTACTCGTCTCTCTTCATCGTCATTCTCTCTCTCTCTCTCTCTCTCTCTCAAAACTAAAATAGTAAAGAGGATGTGATCTTACGAATACCATCACTTTTTTGAAGGATGAAGGTGTAGGGAACGGGCACGCCGAAAGAGAGGTAAAAGAAAAATCACGTCTTAAGACTGTCTTGAAACAAAAGAATGCAAGCAGGGATAAAGAATCATCATTATTACCGAAAAGGCAGTGTTCAAAATTAAGACTATCGATATTTAATAATACGAAATATAGCAATCGACCAAATCCAATCTTAAGTTTTTCAAAGGTGTATGTTTTGAGCTGGGATTAGTGATCTACATCATGACATTCGTCAAGCAACAAAATTAAATTAGTCAGTGGCTGTATACTTAAAATTTTAAATTACGATGAATCAAAAAACGATAAAAACAATGAAGGGCTGAGCGGAAGATTCATCTCGAAGAGTCAGTCCTCACATCGCGGATGAAAGGATGCGGGAGACGGTCTGGCCGTGGCGAATGCATTTGTCGCGCTCCAATGTGCAAAAATAAGTAGAAAGGACTTCTGCGTGGCGAATGCATTTGTGCCGCTGCCATGTGCAAAATAAGGTAAGAAAGGCCAATAAAAAATCAGGGCAATCCGGAATCATCTCGAATGAAAAAATAGGTCTGCTCGATGAAGAATGGTATCAACAGTTCCTGTGGTATCGAACACAAATCATTGAACCGTTTATTTATTTAATTTGACAAATTGTGATTTTGAGACTGGATTTCAATCAACAAACAAAACAACACGAAAACACTATAAAAAAGCGTCCGGTCATGCTTAAAAAACACTCTGCTTCAATACATTCGAAGTTTGAATCATGGATGTTTCTATAAAAAATGGCACATCCGGGAAATTGGTTCGGCAAACCCCCCCCCCCCCCCTAAAAGGTTTTAGAAAGCGTTTGGTATAGAAGGTTTCCGTTTGCAAACCCTCAGTTTGATGATTCAGTTCGGAAATAAAAAAGCCTCAATTCTTTGCGTTATTTTCGCATGCATTAATCGCCAGCCCGTGCACGGCGGAGCGTGGCGGGGGGGGCGCGGGGGGAGCGCGCCAGGGGGGAAGTTGCGGGGGGGGGTTGCTGCGGGGGTCGTTGGGGGTGCGTTGGGGTGCGTGCGGGAGGCGTGCGGGGGAGCGTGCGGGGGGAGGTGCAGGGGAGCGTGCGGGGGGAGCGTGCGAGGGGGGGAGCGTGCGGGGGGAGCGTGCGGGGGGAGCGTGCCGGGGGTAGCGTGGCGGGGGGAGCGTGCGAGGGAGCGTGGCGGGGGGAGCGTGCGGGGCGGGGCGGCGGGGCGGAGCTGGCGGGGCGGAGCGTGGACGGGGGCGGAAGCGTGGCGGGGCGGGAAGCGTGCCGGGGCGGACAGCGTGCGGGCGGAGCGTGCGGGCGGACGTGCGGGGGCGGAGCGTGCGGGGGGGAGCACGCGAGGAGCGCTGACCTGGTGCAGCCCAGAGGAAAGCGGCGCGTTTGCCGAAGAGGGTCCCCGGGCGCCCGCAACCAGCACCAGCACAGCGCCACCGATCAGCGCCCAGCGCCCCAACAGGGGGGCGCCGCCAGTCGCGCCATCGGCCCGCCCCGTGCGGGGTCCCAGCGCCTAAACACACGGCACGCCGTCAAGAGGCAAGGGCGGAGCAACATTTATTAGAATAAATTAAAGAAACATGAATTTATCAGAAATGAAACCAGAAATTTAAACCTTCAAATGGCTGGTGGCAAAAACTGACAACGTACTGTGTTAGTGGGGTCTCAGAGCAAGCTAGAACTATAATTTGGCTGAACACAATATTTTTCAAAGAAAGTATAACTCAGTGAAAATTCAGCATTATGGTAAAGTAGAAGCGGAATTTTTAATGAAATGTCAGTTTTTTCGTTTCAGCTTTATAAAGCATCACTTTTAACACAGACCTTTATTTTTTGTTATGACAGAAAACGACCCATTTTTATATCCCTTTTTTATCTCGTTTTCTTGGCATTATTCGTCGAATTTCGACTATCAAGTTATTTTCATCTTTCCCAGCATTTTTAAATCAATTTTTGCTGTTTAATGACGATTTTTTATATAATTTTAATGGTTCTTGTTCAAAATAATGATTGAAATGCAAAAACTTCTCCACAGAATTCATGAGAAACGCATTCGAATTTTCTTGCCCGAAATTCGAAGTCAATTTTGTTGGAGTAAGCAATCCAGGTTTCCTGTGATGCCTATTAGCGCCCTTGTTTCATCCGGTTTTGGGTATCAGCTAAAGACAGAGGGTCTGAATAAAGAACGACAAAAAAAAAAAAAAAAAAAAAAGAAAAGTTTCAAAAGGAAACCAAACGGTTTGCAGACGATTTAACTTAAACGAAAAGGAAGAAGCCTCGATTTTCATCAAAGCATGAACAGTGTGGCGATTCGTTCACACGAGGGCCAGAAGCCGTTAGGTCGGTGAAAGTACGCTGCGGGGAGGAAGGGGTTGAGCCCTGAAATCCGGAGAGTTTGCGCTCGAGCGGTTGGACTCAGGTAGTGCCGCAGAGCCAAAAATACCGGAGGCTGTAAACTCGAGATGCTGCCGGCGAGCCTCGTTTACGGAAAGCAGGCAGCCACTGAGAATTCTTGTGTGTGGGCGTAAACCAAGGCTGGCCTGCGAGTTCTATCTATGAACAGTGGGTGGGGGTGTCAGCCTCAACTATTTAACGCGGCGCCATCTGCGGCCCCGCGTCCTCAATCTCAGTTTGCATCGGGAAAGCTTGTAACGTGTGTACAAGGGGTGTAGGAAGTGTGGGCGAGATGTCCGGAGAGTAAGGGCCGAGACAATCTGCGCGTGCTGTAGGCACACGGTCGCCACGACCGGGTTAAATTTTTGGCGTCAGGCCATGTGACGGTATTGTCCGGGGACGAGGTCCGACACCGGCGATCACGCGTGCTTGTGGTTTTCTGCGGTAAGCAAGTGTCTGAACGGAAAAGGTTGCCGGAGTGTTTTACAAATAGAAATTATTGTAACTTGTACATAATCATTCTGAATATATTATATTTATTTTGTTATTGAAATTTATTTCTTATTTCACTACGTCACAACAGCATCAAACAAACTGAGTTGTTCAAACCGGTTTTGATTAAATTTTTCCTTGCTAGTAGGGTTTTTAAAAGCATTTAAAGATAATTTTATTGATATTTCTGGTGATGTTTTTGTCATCGAAATCCGCACCCTAATTATATATTTCCTTAGGTAAAGAAATTAAATATTTGCATAAAAATGCTGCAATATTGATAAACACACGATAATAAAAAATAATTATTAGAATGTTATTGAATTTTAGAAGCAGAACACCTGAAACCATTAAAGTTTGAATGTAGCAAATAAATAAATTTGAGGCAGTTAAGTGAAGACGTTTGGTTTTAGTATCAGATCCTCTCGGACAATGCTTGTAAATTATTGTAGTAACGTAGTTACTACAAAACATAACCTGACTTTTACAAACGCACGGCTCAAATATAAAATAAATGAAAATAAATGTAATAAGTAATATTCATTTATAGTACCAAAAAATAGAATATGTTTACTATCAAAACGTTGTTTACGACACTTTGAAAAGAAAAGTCAGAAAGTTTAAATACGATATTCAAACCTTGCAACTATGTTTAAAGATAACACGTCGGTTGGTGTTTATTATGTCGTTTCGGACAGGAATTGTGATAAGTTTTCCTTGATCCTTTGAGCAAATTTTGAAAAAGACCACATTTTTTGCTCCTACGCATAAATGTAGTTTCACTACCGCTCACTGCAGCTTTTACCAGAAGAAAACGTAAATTACATTCTGAACATGGAGGTAGGCCAACAACATGGAGGTAGGCTTCATGGGCTGACGCTGTGGTTTCAGCGCTCTTGGTGGACTTTCGCCGAACTAGGGGCCGCCATGTTTTTGCAGTCAATACATGAGGTAGCTGATTGTGTGTAGAACTATTGTGCTGAATCGACATGTTGTTTGTATCAGATCTTATTTCTATATTGTAGTATTTTCGTTTATCTGTATTTAAATAATATTAGTGGTTAGAACATTACATTCACAATGTCTTCAGTATGTTCGGCATATGACTAAAAATAGAAGACATCAAACCACAAAGATATATTTTTTCAAATTTGCTGCCTTTGATTTTTGAAATTTGATTGTTGAAATTTGATCTGTTTGATTCTTTTTGCAACAATATTCAGTTTCAGGCGTTATGCTAACTACTATAACATTTTAACAGCTTCCATTCTTATGACAATAACCGATGCAAGAAGCAATGTATTTTCAATGTTTCTCAATTCGTGCTCCTTACATGTAGTGATTTCGTTTTTAGATGATTGTTTTTTTGTCGTTAAACATAGAGTAAGAGGATTTGTATTACGAGCGGAACGCGCCCACCCGGCTTTAACCAGCGGCAAACGTAAAATTATAATACTGTTTCACCAAAGGTCGTTGCTTCGACTGAAAAAAAAACAGCAAATAAAACATGGCATCAATTTTCGGCAAAGATGGAGGGGCTTCAGTCACTCTATACAGTATATTGTAGCTCGTTTAGCACCTCGTGTTCTGAATGCAAAAAACATGGCGGCCCCTATTCCGTCGAGCGTCTACCACGTGCGCTCAAAACGTAGGGTCTGCCCCTCTAAGTAGTATAGAACGATTTTCTTAAGAATGGGATAAAGTGGCAGTTCGCGAAACAAGTGAACATCACGTGTACATCAGAGAAGTAAACACGTGCACCGTCACGAGTACGCATCTCACATTCAAGACTTTATTTTAAAACAAACATAATACTTAGCGCATAAAAACTAAATTCAGTGTAACTTTTATAAAAAAAAGAATTTTTACAGAAGAGCATAAAGCTCTGCATTTCCTAATTTCAATTATTTCTCGTGGCGCACTACATTTTCGTCGGACGAAAACATCACAACAGGGAGCGTCGAAACTATTTCCAAGTTAGCCAACTGCAAACGAATGGAGGAAAGAGAGTCTATAAGTTCAAGGACACAACGACCACAGAATCGTCAGTTGTGTTGGCAGCACTAGCTGTCAAATCATCCCATTCTAAAGAAAATCGCACAAGATATTCTAGCTGGTTGGTTGTGGTTGCGGTTTCGGGCACCTGCAGCGCTGCGAGCGCGGCGCGCGCGGCGCGGAGGGCGTGGTGGGCGAGGGCGGGCAGCGCCTCCACGGGCGGCGGGGGCGGCGGGATGCAAGGCGCGTCGCTCGGGTCCTCCCGCGGGTCCCAGCGCTCCCACGACCACGCCGCCTCCGGCTCCGCCTCCTCAGGCGCCGCCACCTGCAACACCACACGAAGCGGCGCGCTGAAGAACACTATTTTCGCTTTTGATCATTAGACACGTAAGTGTAGTTTGGGTTGTGTCATGGGAGGTACCGGCGTTCCTCCCCCGCTGAAACGTGAAATCCGAGTGCGACTAAACGTAGACTAGTCGGGGTTCCTGCCTCAAGGTCTCTCCCCCAGCGGGACACCGCCCCATCTGGGTCACATTCTAAGCCCCGACATCTGTGGTAGTGTAGTTCATGTAAGAGTAAATGTACGTAAGGGGTGAGGTAGGACACGGAAGAGAAAGGAATAATCGTGCGAGGTCCGTGGACTGTTTGTTAGGGAACAGATGCGGCATTCACCTGGTGTTGATCGGAGAAAGCACGGAAAATTATTGATCAGAGCAGCGGGGACCAAGGATTCGGCGCAAAAAGCAGAATTCGACATAGTCATCCAAAGAAATTAATAATAATTTAAAAATTTCAAGAATGAAATTCTGGAAGGAATATGTTAGCCAATCTCGAAAAACAGATGGATCTACGGCAATTAGACTGACTGATTGATTGATTATTCTGGGCGATCGTCCCACAATACACTAATTCATCTCAAATAAATTCTACATCTCTCTACCGTTTTCTCTAGCCTCTAAACATTTCATACTTAGAAAATCCTACGCTCAAAATAGAATACAATTGAGATTTCCAATTCAACTCCCCTTTTAAAACTTTTTTGCCTATCATAGTATATTCAAATCCTCCTCATCCAGTTTTCTTCCCATTCACGAAACTCAGAAAGTTACAAGGACTCCAGAGGAGTATAATATAGACGAAGGTTAAGTTAGTTATGTATAATTCTAACATTATTATATAGCGCTGGATCGCTTTAAAAGAAAATGGTGTAATTAAAAATAACAGATTTCTTTATGGGATCAAACATTGGTGCGACAAGCGGTGAAGGCCAGGTTTGTTAGCCGCGCTCTCTCGTATGTTGTCACTGATATAAATATCCCCTTCCTGCACCTGCTGTGGTTATTCTAACCACTCTTAAAAGTCTCAAGTCCCTGAGAAAGAAAACTCTAAAACTAAATAAAAAATTCAATTATGGGAACAATGAAGTAAGTAGTGGGGGCGACAAAAGGTGAGAGCTAGGCTTGAGCGTCGCGCTCACTCGTATATGGCCAGGTTTATAAATAGTCCTTTCTGTATCTTATGTGGTTAGGTAATTAAACAGTCTTATCAATCGGTAAGTCACTATAAAAGGAAATTGTGTAATTAAAACAGATCTGGTTGCATTACGGGAACAGTGAATTAGTGGCGGTGACAAGCGGCGAGTCAGGCTTGTGAGCCGCGCTCGCTCGTGTATGGCGGTGCTCTTCCTGTACCTGCTGCGGAGGCAGCTCGTCGTCCTCGCCGAGCAGCGGCGGCGGCGACGGCGGTGGCGGCGTGGGCGGCGGCGGCGGCGACGGGGACGGCGCGGGCTCCAGCGGCAGCAGCGCCGCCAGCGACAGCGCGTCGGCCGCCAGAAGCGCCAGGTGCGCGCGCGCCAGCACGAAGGTGCGCTCGTCGGCCACCAGGAGCGCCACCTGCCATGGTGGGTGCCCGGCGGCCAGCAGCTTGCCCGCCTGCGCGCTCACCCACTCCTGGAACGGCCCACGGAGAGCAGACATACGAGTATTTTCTGGCCAAAATTCTTGATATTAACAGAGCCTAACTTAGACGAATATCACAAACTTTTATTAACAGGTGTTTCCTACAGTTATTTAAAGTCCACTGGCCGATGACTATGGAAATGAACCGTTTATGAAAGTCGGAAAACTCCAGATTCAAAAGAGGATAAAGCGATAGATAAGACATACATCGAAAAAAAACACAGGAAAGGTAGGCTTTAGAGTGGAATCCGCAGCGACAATGAGTTACCGGGCTCCTAGGCCATGGTTCAGTGGAAGAGTTTACCCCAGACCTTTCCTCCGCATCTGCGGCGGACGTCATCAGTGGCGTGTGGTTGGGGGCGCAAATATCTCTTTGGCAAGTCCCCATTAATTGTCATTCAGCTTCTGTGGTTTCCGCGATCTGCATTTTTGGTTTAATCTAACTTGCCCACACTGCCACGGACTCAATCTGCCCCAGCTGCAAACTGGGGACGCGACGTCGCTGACAAAACGTCGACGTTTAGAGTCATGGACGTTGAAAATTAAAATATCGATGTTAATAAATCACCGCTACAAAACTTTCGATGTTTTTAAAACTAGTTCAGCAACCATTAATATTCTCGAGGAGGAGATTGAATTTGATGGTAGTCAGAACAATTAAATGCATTTTTATTATTTGATTTTTAGAACTAAAGGTAAAAGTAACGATGCTCAAGTGTTCAGATAATCAGCGAACGCAGCAAAGATAACAAAATTATTTCGTACACCGCATCAGTTACTGCTAACCTTACTGTATCATTACGTGATTTATTTGGAAACATGACAAAAAAAATAAAAGTCAGTACGGCGATGTAAACAAATGTATATAACACAAGTGGTAAAAGTGATTTTGTTTTGCTCGGAGGATTATGCACCGAGGCCGCAATGCATCGATATTAATAAACATGGCTCGGATTCTGACTTAAATTTTTTTCGAAAATTACCAATAACGACTTGAAATAAGGAGAAAATTTTGTATTTTTTTAAATACTTAAAAATGCGTATAAAATGTTTATTTATTCAATGAATTTTACAAGTTAAATAAAATTTATTTATATAAAATTATATATAATACAGCATTTATTTTAGAAGGAGATGTAATCCTAAGCTCCGATTTTCCAACCGTCAGCGTTGAAAGGTCGAGAAAATTATCTAAAATCCGTGTAATTTTCAGAGTTAGAAAAATAGAGTACACTGAAGTAGTAAATTTTGTCATGAACTGATGACAATAAAAACGTTGTTTTAGTATATCATTTTAAATTCATGAAACATTCACTAACAAAAACCACGAAAAGGAAACAAAATGAATTAAAACGACAAAAATGATGACAAAGGTTCATAAAAACTACATAAAAACCGAAAAATTGTGCAAAAGTGACAAAAATGACCCAATAACTACAAATATGTGATAAATATTCATTTAAAAGTTAGTTACGTTATTACAGTGCACCAATGAAAAGATGACCTGTCATCAGAATCCGAGCCCTATTTATAAACATCTATGGATCTGGATCAATATAGTATTAACATTAGGGCGTTTTTGCACGGCGGAACGTCACAGCAATCCACAACACTAACGACGCGCAATTGGAACTTCGCATCACTTTCGTGTATCGGCGCATGCGCAGAAGATCGAAATCGCGGTCCTGACTGCTGCACGCTGTGCCGTGCAAGAAACAGCCTCTTGTTTTCCTTTGGAAGGAAGGAGGGCGCGAACGCACCTGCAGGTTGGCGGCGGTGACGGGGCGGCCGCGCCACGTGGGCGGGGCCTCCACTACGTGGCGCTGCAGGTCGAAGGCGGCGTCGGGGCTGCGCCAGGCGTAGCGGCCCCAGCGCGACGTCAGCGCCAGGCGCAGGTGCGGGTGCAGCAGCTCCCCGGCCGCGCCGCGCCGCTCCACCACGCCCTCCTGCGCACGCGCGCACGCCACGCTCACAGCACGACTCGTCACATCGCGACACACACTACGTCACGCCTTATCACGTCACGCATTATCACGTCACACATTATCACGTCACGCATTTTCACGACACGCTTTATCACGACACGCTTTATCACGTCACGCTTTATCACGTCACGCTTTATCACGTCACGCCATTTATGTCACGCCTTTTATGTCACGCCTGTTATGTCACGCCTGTTATGTCACGCCTGTTATGTCACGCCTGTTATGTCACGCCTTTTGTGTCACGCCTTTTGTGTCACGCCTTTTGTGTCACGCCTTTTATGTCACGCCTTATCACGTCACGCCATATCACGCCACGCCATATCACATCACGCCTCATCGAGTCACACCTTATCACGTCACACGTTATAGCGTCACGCCTTACGTGTCACGCCTCACGCGTCACACCTTATCGCGTCACGCATTATCACGTCACGCATTATCACGTCTTGCCACGCCATATCAAGTTCTTTAATTGATTGATTTGTAGCTAGGCACGTCAACAGCTACGGTCATTTGTCCTGTAGGTGTAGTAGTACCCATCGTCTAGCAAGGTTTTTCCCAACCAGGTAACTCCCAGCAGCAGGGCACCGCCCCAGCCGGCCGAGACTCTGAGCTAGCGAGTGTCTGTATGTAAGTAAGTGCGTATAAGTACGGAGTGAGAATAAGACAAGGAAGAGGAAGCAAATATCGCCCGTGCAAGTGCGGGTCCGCTCTACCATCATTTTAAAAAATATATTTTTATAAAAAAACTTTAATTTATTGGTATGTTATACTTTGTTTTAGATTATTCATTTAAGAATTATATTTCAATTGTCCTCAATTCCACACAGTTTTTTAATATAATATAAATATATGTCATGTGTAATTATTTTATTAAATTACAAACTATTCAGTAATATATACTTTTATATTTAATATATGATACAATTAGTTTTGCCCAGGGTCAAACTGAAGCTACGCCTCTGCTTCATATCAAGTGTTTTGTCTGATTGATTGATTTGCGATTCTTGGCAACTACTAAGGCCATTAGTCACCCAAAAGTGTTGCATGTTTTTTATCGCGGGAGGCGGCAGTGATCTGCCGCCGATGGATGGCGAGATTCGGCGCCGACCAACATCGGTTAGCGGGGATATCCGCAACCAGGTATCTCACAACAGCGTGGTAAAACCCCAGCCGGGACAAGCCCTAAGTTCCCGACCGATCTCCATACAAGTGTCGTAGTGTAGTGCATGTAAGGGTAAGAAAGGGGTGAGAATAGGGAATGGCCGAGGTGGAAAGATCAGACGTGGTTCGTGGCCCGTTTGTTAGGGTACAGCTCCCGCATTCGCCTGGTTTTGATGAGATAAACCACGAAAAGCCCTCAATCAGAGCAGCCGGCCGGTAGACTTCTCCTCCAGACAGCGGCTGTGTTCGACGTAGCTTGTGTGGAATATTGGCCGCTGTCAGGACTCTACCCCTAGGGCGCTGCAGCCGAGGGTGGGGGTGGGCGTGGCTACCTGCAGCGCGCGGAGGAGGCGCTGGCGCGGCAGGCGTCCGCGCAGCGCCAGCAGCGCCGTGGCCAACCCCTGGCAGCGCTGCGAGTCCATGGCGGCGGCCACGCGCGTGCGCCGCTCCAGCTCCAGCTCCGGATGGCGCCGCTCCAGCCAGCGCAGCCACGCGCCGCGCCCTGCGCACACGCACACGCCGCTCGCACCACACGACCTCAGACGTGTCGCGCTCACACTTACACACACACGCGCGTCACTCTGTAAGAGATCAAGCTACTCGCACAAGCACACGCCGCTCGCACCAAATCGTGCCGCTCGCACACACACACACACACACACGCACGCCACTCGTAAGAGCTCAAGCTACTCCCACAAGCACACGACCCTCGCACCACTCGAGTTCATACGTGTCGCTCACACACACACATACGCCTCCCGTAAGAGCTAACGCTCCACGCACAGACACACGCCGCTAGTACACACCAGTACGTGTCAGCAGCACACACATACACATGCCGCTCATAAGAGCTCACGCCACTCGTATAAGCGTTCGCGCCACACGAGCTTATACGTGTCTCTCACACACATGCCACTCATAAGAGCTAACGCTTCTCGCACAAGCACATGTCACTAACAACAGTACGTGTCGGTCGCACACACACACTTACACACACACAAATGCCGCTTGTAAGCACTCACGCCCCTCATACACACACACATACACGTTGCTCGCTGAGGCGTTCGAACGCCGAACGTTGAGGCGTTCCCCCTCGAAGGCTGCGAAAACGTTTGCAATCAAGTTCAAATGTACCAAATTTTCGCACGGGTTCATTTTGCACATTGTAATATTAAGTAGCTAATCTTTGTAAATAACACTAGCTATGTGTGATAGAGCCTTTTTAGTAATGAAGAATGTGTTACTCATGAAAGATATTGATGAATATAATGAAGAGGTTAAGGACGAAAAATCATTCACAGAAATTTGCCGTGTGCACTAATGCAACTTGCCGGGCAAAAAATATATTTCTTACGTGATTTTAATAAAAGGGATGGTTACCACATTATTATTATTTTACTAAGTGATTAGTCGGCGTTGCCCGGGATTTATTTATTTCGATCGTTTTTTATGCAGCCCACCCCTCTCGCTACACCCCTTTTATCCGTCGCGGTTCCATCGATGCATTCCAATTTCCCGGGTGTGTCCCGTGTTTCCAGACAACAATGCCGCCTAGATGCACTACTAATTGCGTTGAACTAAATGAAATAAAGCATACACACACACATTTTGAAGTTAGGTTTGAATTGCAATTCCCTTCTCTCAGTATTTTTTCGACCACTCGAAAGTAGTCTCGCAAAATTAGGGAGACACAAACACACACACACACACACACACACACGCACGCACGCACACACACACACACAGCTCTGTGTGGTTGCCGGGGTTTTTTGTAGAATAGCGCCACGGGACCTCCGCCTGTCGCAAAAGGCGACTAAAAGGAGCAGCTGTCCGCTGTCCTTTCCCTCTAATATCCTTACTTTCCCACCTACTTTTCC